GGGAGGGCCTTCTCGGTGGGAGCCCTCACCCTCTGGAACGAACTACCCCCAGAGATCCGGGTGATTCCGGATCTCCCCTCCTTCCGCCGCGCCCTAAAGACATGGCTTTTCCAACAAGCGGGATTGGCCTAGGGAATTTTAGTGAGGTTTTTAAGGGAAATTTTAATTATTAGGCCATTGCAAATATTTCCTTTTAATCGGGTTTTAAATTGGTATTTATTGTAATATTGGTTTTATAAGGCTGTCAGCCGCCCTGAGTCCGGTAAGGAGAAGGGCGGGATACAAATCAAATAAATAAATAAATAAATAAATATTAATCAGGTTTATCGGGAGAGCGTTCATGAAAGCGTTTGAGCAACCTAGGAGCTGTAACGTGCTTCTTACAGACCCATTCATTCTGCGAAGGAGGAAGATCTTTCCAGGCAACTAAATACTGAGTGGACCCATGATGTTTATGAGAGACTAGAATGCCCTTGATTTCAAAGTGCTGTTCACCCTCTACCATAATGGGCTGCAGGGTAGGAGCAGAGGCAGGCTTCAATGCAGAAGTAATCTCAGGTTTCAGCAGACTGCAATGGAAGACTGGGTGGATTTGTCGTAAAGTCTTAGAGAGTTCTAATTCCACAGTGATAGGATTTATAATATGTTTAATGGGAAAAGGACCGATATACTTCAGACCTAACTTTTTAGATGGTTGCAATGACTGTAAGAACCTAGTGGAGAGGTAGACCCTATCACCTGTATGAAAGGGTTTAGACTGCATCCGTTTTTTATCTGCCTGGATCTTATATGCCGCCCTGGCTTCATCCAGAGCTTTCCTAACAACAGGCCAAATGTTCTGCAATTGATATACCCATTCCTTGAGGGAAGGAATGGCAGGTTCACTAGCAGGCAATTCAGGCATAGGGAGAAAACTCTGTCCGTTAGCATTGCATTGTTATAGGCCACTTCAGCAAATGGTAACAAATCAGTCCAGTTATCTTGTTGATAATTAATAAAACATCTAAGGTATTGTTCTAGAACAGAGTTTGTTCGTTCTGTCCCCCCATTCGTTTGATGATAACTAGATGACAGTCCTCGATCAGAACCCAGAAGTTCCAGATAGGCTTTCCAGAACTTAGAAGTGAATTGGACACCTCTATCCAATATTATGCGCTGTGGGGCCCCATGTAGTCGATAGATATACTGCACAAAAAATTTAGCCAAAGTTTTTGCAGTCGGGATTTTCTGACACAGAATAAAATGGGCCTGTTTGGAGAACAGATCAGTAACGAACCAAATGACAGTGTTTCCTCTGCTTTCAGGGAGCTCCACAATAAAGTCCATAGAAATCTCTCTCCAGTGTGCTGAAGGGCTTGCCACCGGCTGTAGGAGCCCCAGCATTTTCCCTTGCCTTCGTTTAGCCACTGCGCAGGTATGACAACTAGCCACATAACTTTCAATGTCCTTTTTTAAAGAGGGCCACTCTTTTAAGTAAGTGGAGGGTCTTCACAAACCCAAAGTGACCCCCTAACTTTGAGTCATGGCACACCTGCATGATCTTTAGTCTCTGATTCACAGGAACATATAACTTTCCACCGACCCAGGCTAAACCATCTTGCACTGAACAGAGGTTTTTATGGGCCTGAACCGCTCATCGTTCTCCAGCACCATTTTGAATTCCCCAACCACTTTGTTATCTAACGGCAGAGAGCTCTTAGTCTGTGCTTTCGTCGTGACCAGGGCCGCCAGCTGGTTTGGGGAAAATAGAGGCTTAACTGGTCCCGACTTCATACTGTTATATTGCCGCATTCTTGACAAAGCATCTGCTAGGAAATTCTTTCCCCATGGCAAATAGTGGATGGAGAAGTTAAATCAGTGGAAATGCTGGGCCCAGCGTGCCTGTTTTGGAGTCAACTTCCTGGAGGTTTTCAGTGCTTCAAGATTCTTATGATAAGTCCAGACCTGAAAAGCGATTTTACTCCCCTCTAAAAAATGCCTCCAAGTTAGGAAAGCCCATCGCACCGCATTAGCTTCCTTCTCCCAAGCAGCCCACTGTTGTTCAGTCTCAGTTAATTTGTTGGATATGTAAGCACAGGGCTGCAACTGACCCCCTTAGTTCTTCTGAAGCAGTACCACACCTACCACTATATCACTAGCATCATCTTAAATCACAAACGTTTTTTCCGTGTCCTAGAAAGAATTTTACAAATATGATAAAAACAATATATAGCAACCAGACAGCAAAAGTGATTGTGAATGGAGATTGTACTGAGAACTTTGAGATAAGAAAAGGCGCAAGGCAAGGATGTCCATTATCCCCACTATTATTTATTTTCACTTTGGAAGTTTTAAATAGAAGGATTAGACAAGATACAGAAATTAAAGGACTGAAGATAAAAGACGAAACATACAAGTTACAAGCATTTGCTGACGATCTAGTATTTATTCTAGAAGAACTTTTAGAGATGATTCCTAAGCTATGGGGAAAGATAGAACAGTATGGAGAAATAGCGGGATTAAAAATAAATAAAGAAAAAACCAAGATAATAGTTAAGAATCTCACAGATAAACAGAAAAAGCAAATGCTAGAGAAAACAGAGGTACAGATAGTGAAAAAAGTGAAATATTTAGGTATATATCTTTCAGCCAAATGTTCGTCAATAAAAGAAGATAACTATATAAAATTATTGAAACAAATAAAGCTGGACTTGGAAAGATGGAAGAATCTTCAATTGTCAATATTAGGAAGAATTGCTACAGTAAAAAAATATTTTATTTTTATTTCAAACAATTCCAATAAAACTTGAGAAAAAATTCTTCCAAGATTTAAACTCATTAATTTTGTTTGGCAGGGAAGAAAGCTAGAATTAAGATGAAAACATTACAAGATGCTAAGGAAAATGGAGGATTTGGGTTGCCGGAATGGGCGTTGTATTATCAAGCATCTGTCTTAACATGGGTGAACAAATGGATAATGCTTAGAAATAAAAGGTTATATTTAAAGGGGCATGATTTACAATTAGGTCGGCACGCTTTCTTATGATATGGAAAAAACAGAGCTCATAAGTATTTCCAAAACCATTATATAAGAAATGCCTTGGGGTGTTTTTTTTAAAAAAAATTATTGAGTTTTATAGGGGAGAGGTTAAGACCGGGATAGGGATTAAGGTTCGGGGTGGGGTTAGGATCGGGATTAGAGTTAGGACAGGATTGGAAACAACATCAGGGTTACCCCAATAACATTTTCAAGCTTTAGCAAGCAGATAGTTGTCTGGGTACATATGTTCAGTTAACATTGATTAATATAATGGTAAACAGCTGTAGTAATTATAATAAATGATAATCATAAACAGTATCAGTTGGTCAATACATATCATTCTTCTTATTAATATATATTCAAGATAACATATCACATTCATTTCTCACTAGCTCATTTTCCTAACCATTGGTAAAAATTATCCCATGTTCTAAAATAAACTGAGTCTTCTTTCTCTTTGATCTCTAAGGTTAAATCTATCCATTTCTGCACATTCTAAAATTTTCTTAATTAAAATCTCTTCAGTTGGTAAATTTCCATTTTTCCAGTACTGAGCAAAAACTATTCTCGCTGCTGTCAGTACGTGCAATATTAAATATTCATTCTCCTTCTCATAACTGACTCCTAATATTCCTAACAAAAACAGTTCTGGTTTAAAATCTATCTGTCTTTTAGTCATCTTTTCCAGCCATGTGTGTATCTTAAGCCAGAAATGCCTTGTTAATAGTATGGGAAAGAATCAAAGCTAAAATATACTTAAAAATTCCAGGATGGCTATCAACAATGGAGGCATTTATACATCCGAACTTGGTAGATTTTGAAAAAATATGGGCATATAGAGATATTCTAAATATTGATGGGAATTTAAAATCTAAGCAAGAACTGGAAAATCGGGATCAACCTGTCGTGGTGGGCATATTTACAGATGCAAAATAGATATGAAAAAGACGTGAAAATGTAAGATCAAACTGTATTTGATAAGATTTTGTTAACCTCAGATGAGAAATTAATTAAGAAAATGTATAATTTTTTGTTAATTTTGGAAATGGAAAGTGAACAAGTTAAAGAAACAATGATAAGATGGGTGAAAACTTTTGGCTATAATATAGAACTAGAAAAGTGGCAAAAGCTATGGGAGAGAAATTACAAATTAACAATGTCAACTTCATATAAAGAAAACGTATATAAAATGTTTTATAGATGGCACTTACCACCAGTAAGATTAGCAAAAATGTTTAAAAATATGTCAGATAGATATTGGAAATGTAAGCACAATTCAGGCACATAGTATCATATTTAGTGGACATGTGGCAAAGCAAAGGCTTATTGGAAAAAGATACATGCGTGGTTAGAAAAAATATTAGGTGAACATGTTGATTTTAAACCTGAACTTTTCTTACTAGGTATAATGCCTGAAAAGATTAATAAGCAAAGTCTATATTTGATTTTACACATCACCACAGCAGCGAGAATAATCTTTGCGCAATATTGGAAGAACGAAGGACTACCATCAGAGGAAGAAATAATCAGAAAAATATTGGAATGCGCAGAGATGGACAGATTAACAATGAGATTGAAAGATAAAGAAAACACAGATTACTACCAAACTTGGGACTTATTTTATTGTTGGCTAGAGGAGAGAATGAAGGATTAGGAATTGAATATGTATTAGCAGACTGCTCATGGGTTGAAAAATTAACACATGTATGTAAAAGAAAATCAATAAAAGTTTTATAAAAAAAAGGAGTGGGACAAAATCCCTCCTGAGATGTGTGCAAACCTGGTGGCCAACTACAAGAAACGTCTGACCTCTGTGATTGCCAACAAAGGTTTTGCCACCAAGTACTAAGTCATGTTTTGCGAAGGGGCCAAATACTTATTTCACTCATTAAAATGCAAATTAATTTATAACTTTTTTGAAATGCATTTTTCTCGATTTTTGTTGTTGTTATTCTGTCTCTCACTGTTAAAATAAACCTACCATTAAAATTATAGACTAATCATTTCTTTGTCAGTGGGCAAAACGTACAAAATCAGCAGGGAATCAAATACTTTTTTCCCCTCACTGTAGAGAACAACTCACCTCATCCAAAAATTGTTGGATTATATTTGTATGTTATGAAAATATTTATCAGAGGGAGATGGAAGAGGAAGGGGAAGTAGGGCTTTTGTTATTCTTGACTCTTTTCCAGTCAAGAGTGCATGTATTCATGCTGCTTGCTCAGATTGTAGTGATGGGCACTATTTAGAAGGACATGGATTTTAATTTATTGGTAGATTTTTAAAATCTTAAACCCATAATAAAACTCGTTCCCTTATTTACCTGCTGTTGCTATGATTAAAAGAATATGCTGCTGTTGTGAATATACAGACATACTAACTCTTTTCTCCATATCCAGTTTGATACAAAAAATCCAAAATGCAATTCTAGGCATATTGATGAAGAACTAAGCTTCATTGAGTTTTGAGGGCAATGCATTTTTATTTCAAGAAATATTTCAAGAAATAAATATAAAAATAATTGAAATTTAAAGCGAATAAAAGAAATAAAAAGGTGTAAATATAATATCAGAAAATACAACTTGCTTGAAGTCTAGATTTGAAACAAATTTAACACTTAAATCTGGATGGTATGAATTTGTTTAAAAAGCAATCATTTAGAAGTAGAAGCCACAAATAAAGCTGACAATGCTGGCTCAGTCACTTAAGAGTTTTGATGATGCTTCTCTTTTGCTGTGAGTGATGGTTGTAACTTTTATGCAGGTAGTGATAGATGTTAGTTTTTGATGTACCGTGTGCCCAAGTTGATTTTCTTTTCAAAATGTATTCATCCTAACATTCACTTTATGACAGAAAAGAAGATTGGCAAACTTGCATTCTTCAACATTGTGTTCTTTTGGAAAGAAAAATTAGTAATTAAGAACTAGAACAGGCAATAAACATGAGCCAAGATTGACTCAAAGGCAATTTTTTAAAAAAGTGAGCTTTAGCATCACAAGTTAAGTCAAATCAGTTGCCAGCATGTTATTTTATTTCTAGATATCAACTTGAATTAAAAGAAGAATACATAACCAGGACAAAAAAGTTTGCTGAAAATGAGACAGAACAAAAAGGTAAACTAGTAAAAAAAAAGGCAAATAACTTTTGGTCTTGTAAACTATTTTCAAAATAAATGTAATCTAAAACTTTTTGTGTTTCTGATTAGAAAAGGCTATGCTTTTGCATGAAGAGACTATTGCGCTTAATTCAAAAAAGCAAGAATTCAGCCAAGCTGTTTTGCGTGCAAAAGAACTTGAGGTAATTGAAATTTAAATACAGAAGTTTTAGCATGTTCTGAAATGGACATGCCAAATGAATAGACTGTAAATCTCTGAACAAGTCTGATAATTTCATTTCTAACTTGCTATTTATTTCTAGCTGGAAAAAGATTCAGTCAAGGTTCAAGTTTTATTACTAAACAAACAAAATCAGTTGTTGACTGAAAAATTGAAAGAAGTTTCAAATTATCATACACTAAAAAAGGAGAAAATAGAGTATCAAGCACAAAATAAACTACTTGAACAGCAGCTGGAGGAAGCACACAATGAAAACCTACTGCTCCAAGACAGTTAGTATGAATCTAATACTCTGGTATTTTATTGGCAAGGATTTACACAGATACTATAATTTTGTACTATCTGTGATAGCATTATTACATTAGATGTGAGATACTTATTTTCTTTCCTGTTGTACTTCTGTCCTAAGTGTTGATGTTTTTGTAGTGTTTCAGGAAGTATTAGCAAAAGTACAGAAGCATTATAACTGAAGTGCATTTAGCATTGTCCTGTAAAGCGTGATTTTGTGCAATTGTCTCTGTCATTTATTTGAATAAAGACACGGTACTCTAAATTTTGGGAAGAATTGGACACACAACCATTATATCTCGTATATTCTTTAAGGAGGGTGGGAAATGACTGCTTTTTTTGCTCCTCAAACCGTTAAAATATTTAATTCTTGTATCTTTAGGAAACTGAAGGGAATATTCAGAACCTTTGTTAAAGAAAAAACATATTTATCTGTATTTTATATATATACCAGTGACCAGGTTGAATCTACTGTCATTCTTTTGAATCAGTCATTTCTCCAAGCCTAAAGTAATTACTGCAATAAAATTTTACAGGCAGAGAAGATGAGATGCATATCTTATTCCTCCTGTTAGTTTGTCACACAGTGTTATATGCTTCTTAGCCAGATTTTACATAGCAGTCATGAAAGTACATATTTTTGTTTTACTCGGTGTATTTGACTAATATTTAAAACTATTCAGATTGCTTATTACACTAAGATTGCAGGCTAATATCATATTAAGCATTACCCAAATTTGATGGTAGGGCCAAGAGACAAAAACTCACAGTAGCTCAAATTTCTTTCTTAAATTAAATTGTCAGGTCAGTGTAATTTTCCTGTTCTCTTCAGTAAATCTGCTGTATTATTTTTTTATTTTGGGTTTTTTTCCCTATGTGGGATGTTTTTGTTGTATTTTTATGTTATATGTGATTGGTCAAGAAATAAATACCTTACCCATTTTTTTATGGATACTGAAAAATAATTTATCCATACCTCATAAAGCACTAAAAATGAAGTTAGGTACATGATAGAATATATTTTCTGCATAAGGTATTTCAGAGTGAAGGCAAGATGTGATTAAAAAAAATAATTTTCAGTCTCCTAAACTTACAGAGCTAAGTCGTCCATCATCTGGCTTTATGGTCCTTCAGGCAGAGTTAAAAAGAATAGAACATGCCAAAAAGCTTGACTGTGAGGAGTCTGAAACTCATAAACAGATCTTGGAAAAACGGTTACAAAAGGAGGTAGGTTTTTTTGGGTTTTGCAGATGCCTCCAATAATCTTTGAACAGATTTCTGTCCGAGATACTCAGTAGAGAAAAATGGCAATATGTGTGAATTGTTATTATTTTTACTTGTATTAATAACTCCTTTGTATTTTTTTTAATGTTTTCAGATGGATCACTGTATACAGTTAAAGGCCCAGTTGTCAGACTATGAAAATACCATCAGGAAGTTAAATGTACAGATAGAAGAATTAAAGTTACAATGGAAGCAAACACAGACAGGTTTGAACATTTTGATTTCTCACATCTTTTTGCCTTCAAACTCAAGCCTCTTTCTCTTTTATTTGATACAAATGTGAGGCAATTTTATTTAAACATAGATTATTTTTTGCCACAATTTATTAACTAAATTACAAGGAAATAAAATTATTGAAATGTTATATGCATAATGAATGATTGCCCACTTTTAAAATAAAGTATTGTTTCTTGGATATAATTATTTATTGCAAAGGAGAGCACCTTGTTTTACGGAACATAGGGAATAATTTGGGCTAGTAGCAATTCTTATAAAAGGTGTTTTAAATTCAAAGATAGCTTCCTTGTTTCCAAAAATTAATTTTGAAATAATTCAAAACTGCCCTCTAGTTTCTAACATTTCAGTTTGCAATTTAGTTGTTCATTTGATTTTTAAGATTTTATTGATCTGCCCAACACAGAAATGAAAGAAAGTAACAAAAACTCTATTCCCTGTAGCTGTAACTTGTTCCTAAATTGCAGAGTGATGTCCAAAGCAGAGTTGGGTAGTTGTTGGGAGTATGTATTCTGATAGTTTTGTGTTCATAAGCTTGCACAAACAAAAATTTGGGCCTGCATCTACCTTTCCAAAAGTCTATGGCAAACTACTTTGAGGAAAGGGGGACAGATGCTATATTAAAATTTTACTGGCATGCTTTTTTCTTTTTGTGCCTTGAAGGCACAGTCAGCTAACCTGACATTGCTGAATGCTAAATATGCTTTCATTCAATCTTAGGGAGTTAGGGTTGATTCTTAGAGAACCCAGATAGATCCTAATGGCTATGGGCAGAGTTCTCCAAGCAGGGTTTTCAAGTCTTTCCTCTCACTGCAGACCCTTCCCATGTTAGTTCTAAGAGGATGAGCCCAAGGATCAGGGATATTCTCAGGTATTGACTAAGATATGAGGGAGCTTCCCTTGCTATGAGTAAAAGCAGCCTTTATCTGTGAAAGGAGCACATTACATTATATTACATTGCAAGTCTTGTTATCATGACTATGATATTTTCAGTTTTATTTAGAATTTTGTCTCATCACTCTGACTTGGGATAATTTTGCTATTTGGATTTGGGTGTAGAAAAAATATATAAAAATATTAAGGTAGGCTTCAAATGCAAAGGTTATTTTTACATGTTAATCATATGACCAAATCAACATTCACACTTACAACATTTCCTAAAATATTATTATTATTATTTCTATACAAAACTCTTGATTATCTAGCACTACAAAATGAAGTATATCGGAATCCTAAGCCTTCTCTGGTTGATCGTTCAGTCATTGACTTGATTGATGAAAAGGTTGTTCCACATGATATTTATATAGATCATGCTTTCTTGAAAAAGCCTGTGACCGATGTTGGAATGGGAAATACAGCAAGTCCCAATCATTACAATCACATTGTAAAATTCAACACATCACCAGATTCTGATTTAGAATTTGTAGCTACTACAAAAGCTAGGATAAAAGAACTGGAAAGAGAAGCTGAGTACTTGCAAGAGGCCTACAGGAATTACCAGCACAAAGTCACTCAAAGAGCAATTGACCCAACAAAGATCCCATCATCTTCCCAATCACCAAGTAACCGTATCCTAGCATCTCAACACAGAAAGAGATCTATACAGGAGAATTTGTTGTCTCGGGAACATTCCTTTCACTTTCAAAAAAGTAAAAGCTATACCTGGTCATCAGGAAATGAAAATCATTTTAGTACCACTCCAAAAAAACTTTCCAGGCGCCTCTCTTCTACTCCTGTTTCCAAAGCAAGGTGGAACATCAGTAAAAATCTGTTTAATGAAGGTATGCAATTGGATACAATTATGAAATTTGGTTGCTTTGGTGTGAGTTGCAAGTATTATTGATATCAAACTGGTATCATAATTTGTTAGTCCCTTTCATAGATCATTTCCAATTTCCCATTCACTGCTGAAATGGAAACACTATTTCAACACACTGTTTGCAGTATGAGAATGTTTGTCATCACATAATCACTGCATATAGATAATTCTTGACTTAGGAATGTAATTGAAAACAGAATTACAGGCATAAGTTGTGGCGGTCATTAAGTGGGTTATCACATGACTATGCCTGATTTTATGACTTTTTTACAGCAGTCATTAAGCAAACACCACAGTCATTAAATGAACCTTTAAATTGTAGTCCATGGGCATTTTGTACTAGAAACCAGAAGTACAACACTGGTTTCTGGAAAAAAAGTCATAAATCATAGACACATGACTGCAGAATGCTGCAAATGGCCATAAATGCTAGCTAATTGTCAAGTAATCACTTGACCATTGGACCTTTGGAACTGGGTTGTAAGCAGTTCTATGAAGATCTGCCATAATTTTGAACAGTTGCTGAGTTATTGGTCATACGTCAAGGACTATTTTTGGAGTGCTTCAATTTTAATAAAGTGCTTTCACTTCTGTTGTCTAAAATATACATGGAATTAAAGTTGAAATTAAGGTAGTGATACAAATAATTCACTCTTATATCACAATTAAATGTTTTCTCCCAACTAGTGTATAGTGTACCAATGTCTCAAAGTGCCATGCATGTTCCAGAACCTATCATACCTGTATGTGTGCTCGTTTTAAATTATTCTGCAGTTTTTCAGCCATCGTGAGCCATGTACATTTTCTGTGAGCTACTTTGCTCCTTTGTTTAGAGTGATGAACTAGAACAATCTAATGACTCCTCAATTTTTTTCTCTTGTCCAGGGGGGTTCATTTAAAATATATACAGAAGGCCCACTACATATTTTTCACATAAATTGCATTCCTTAATATAAAATATTCAACTCATTTAATCTGAATTATTTCATTTATCAAATTCAAGAGTGATTTTTTTTAAAAAAAATCACAATATTTGCCAGTATTAAATTTTGAATATTTTGACATTATACTTGTTTGCTGAGGATTGTTTAGCTATTAAAATATATCATTCAAGTGGTATGTCAGGTATGTTGCTTGATTAAGATTATTGTTTGAGAATAAACAGTTGACTTCTGCTTTATAGATATCACTGGCTCGTCTCTTGCAGTTCCTCTTGAGAATACTAATCAGCCTCTGTCTCCTATTTTAAGAATAGGAGACTGCGCATCTCCTGATTCAGCTTGTTCATCCCCACTTCCCAATAAACAAAAGTTAAGGTAATTGTTTTAGAAAATTTAACTAAGTGATACCTGTTTTTTCAGTTACTCTTAATCAAAGATTATTTCAGGAACTTCACTTAGCTGAGGCATTTGATAGTTACTGTAGTTGCATTTGCCATCCTATATATATTATTCTCTAAAGTATGGCTATATGCCTAATTTTCTCTAGTCATAACTTGAAGTTATCCATGATCTATCTTTATCGTTCAGAGTTGGTAAAATATCACAGACTATTCCTTGTCAGCATCATTTGGTTCACTCATTTTAACATTCTTAGGGATAGTTTGGTCTTGGCAATTCATCCTCCCATTGCATTTGATATATGAAACTGTTCTTTTAGAGTGTTTATAAATCAGGGCAAAACAATATCAGTTGAAAATGATTACATCAGCTTAAGGTATCAGTAATTCATATGGGCATATATTTCTTTTACATCTGTTTTCTTTCCAAATTTGACTGTAGCTTTACAGTCTATAGTTTTCTTAAATTTTAATTTTTTTTTAGTCTATATCAAGAACTAGAGAATCATCAAAATATTAGCAACACTGCAAATCCTGTAAAGTTGTTGGATGAAGACCAAGAAAACCACAATCTTGCTAGTGATTGTAAGTTTCTCCTTTATATAAACATTGCAAGATTTTTAATCCTGAGAATAAGTGTCCATGCTTATGAGCATAAAGATTTGATCATTTTTTTGGTAATATTTAAAGTTTCTCTTAGATCAACAAAAAAATTGTCTTTTAATTCCTTGAAATTAATGTCTAACGTGATAGAAAACCAGTCTAAATAGCCTACAGTTTACTATTGCTTGAGAAGTAATATCATGTATCTATAATGCTAAGAATAAAGCTGGTTTTATATGTGAGAAGCATAATGCTCTTTCCAGGCTTAAGAGGTATATAGTGTTAGTGATTTTGTTAACTGGTACCCTAGGAACTAAATAAAATCTATGGAGCTGTTACAGAGTATTATTGAAAGCTTAAAGTAAGGTCAGAAAAGTATTGTGGAACAGAAATAATGATTGTCAGAATTTGGAGATGAAAGAATAGAATCATCTGTCTGAAAAATTATAAAATGCAATGTATAATAGGAACATTATTTGAAAATACAAGGTAGGATTTGAGTTAACCGCAACAAACAAGGAAAAAAAGAGCTACTGTACGTAGAAGACACTAATTGAATGCAATTTTGGAGGAATTTATTTTCAGAAAAGTAAAAGAACAGGTACATGCATAAAATGCACATGTTTGTTACAGAGGTAGAATTTAAATAGATTTGACCAAAGCTTATGAAACCTATAGTAGGTAAATGAGAGTACTGCTTATATCCCAGGCGTGGCTCAAGATTTGAACCTATAGATCAACCTAAGAGGCTGCTATATTATCATACCTCTTGTAACAATAATGTAAATGCTGTCAGTGGGATTGTACTGTAGTTGAATGGAAACCTGACATATAAAAGAAGAAATATTGTAGAAAGTAATGCAAACTGTTTTTATATTTATTATGGCTCATTTTCTCCTTCATGGATTACTGCCTTGTTGTGGCGAAGGGGCTTGCATAACTCAGTGAAGCTATGAGCTATGCGGTGCAGGGCCACCCAAGACGGACAGGTCACAGCAGAGAGTTCTGACAAAATGTGATCCACTGGAGAAATGGCAACCCACTCCAGTATCTTTGCCATGAAAACCCCATGGACCAAAAGGCAAAAAGATATGACGCTGGAAGATGAGCCCCTCAGGCCGGAAGGTGTCCAATATGCTACTGGGGAAGAGCAGAGGGCTAGTACTAGTAGCACCAGAAAGAGTGAAGCGACTGGGCCAAAGCCGAAAGGACGCTCAGCTGTGGATGCATCTGGTGGTGAAAGGAAAGTCCGATGCTGTAAAGATCTTTTCTCCATAGGAACCTGGAATGTAAGATCCCTGAATCAAGGCAAACTGGACATGGTCAAACAAGAGATGACAAGACTGAATATCGACATCTTAGGAATCAGCGAACTAAAATGGACAGGAATGGGTGAATTTAATTCAGAGGACCATCAGGTATACTACTGCGGGCAAGAATCCCTCAGAAGAAATGGAGTAGCCTTCATAGTCAATAAAAGAGTAGGAAAAGCAATACTGGGATACAATCCCCAAAATGACAGAATGGTCTCAATGCGAATCCAAGGCAAACCATTCAATATCAGAGTAGTCCAAGTCTATGCCCCAACCACTAGTGCTGAAGAGGATGAAATTGACCAGTTCTATGAAGCCCTACAGCATCAGAATCAACACCAAAAATGATATCCTTATCATCATGGGGGATTGGAATGCTAAAATGGGAAGCCAAAAGATAACCAGAATAACAGACAAGTTTGGCCTTGGAGTACAAAATGAAGCAGGGCACAGGTTGATAGAATTTTGTCAAGAGAATACGATGGTCATAGCAAACACTCTTTTCCAACAACCCAAGAGACGATTCTACACAAGGACATCACCAAACGGTCAACACAGAACTCAGATTGACTATGTGCTCTGCAGCCAAAGATGGAGAAGCTCTATACAGTCAGTAAAAACAAGACCAGGAGCTGACTGTAGCTCAGATCATGAGCTTCTCATTGCAAAATTTGGCTTATATTGAAGAAAGTAGGGGAAAACACTAGGCCACTCAGGTATGAACTAAATCATATGATGAGGTGACAAATAGATTTAAGGAATTAGATCTGATAGACAGAGTGCCTGAAGAACTATGGACAGAGGTTCGCAACATTGTACAAGAGGTAGCACTAAAACCATCCCAAAGAAAAAGAAATGCAAGAAAGCAAAATGGCTATCTGAGGAAGCTTTGCAAATAGCTGAGGAAAGAAGGGAAACAAAAGGCAAGGGAGAAAGAGAAAGATACACCCAATTGAATGCAGAATTCCAGAGAATAGTTAGAAGAGATAAGAACGCCCTCTTAAATGAACAGTGCAAAGAAATAGAAGAAAACAATAGAATAGAGAGAACCAGAGATCTCTTCAAGAAAATTGGAGATATGAAGGAAACGTTTCATGCAAAGATGGGCATGATAAAGAACCAAAATGGCAGGGACCTAACAGAGGCAGAAGAGATTAAGAAGAGATGGCAAAATTACACAGAACAAAATTACACAGAACAAGCTTAGCCTCCCTGATAACCACGATGGGGTGGTCTTAGGAAAGGTGAGCAACAACAAAGCTAGTGTAGGTGACAGTATTCCAGCTGAGCTATTCAAAATCTTAAAAGACGATGCAGTAAAAGTGCTACACTCAATTTGCCAGCAAATTTGGAAAACTCAACAGTGGCCACAGGATTAGAAAAGGTCAATTTACATTCCAATTCCAAAGAAAGGCAATGCCAAAGAATGTTCAAACTATCGCACCATTGCATTCATTTCACATGCAAGTAAAGTTATGCTTAAAATCCTACAAGCTAGACTCCAGCAGTATCTGGATCAAGAACTTCTAGAAGTACAGGCAGAATTTCGAAGAGTCAGAGGAACTAGAGATCAAATTGCCAACATACATTGATCATGGAGAAAGCTAGGGAGTTCCAGAAAAACATCTACTTCTGCTTCATTGAGTATGCTAAAGCCTTTGATTGTATGGATCACAACAAATTGTGGCAAGTTCTTAAAGAGATGGGAGTACCAGACCATCTTATTTGTCTCTTGAGAAATCTATATGCGGGTCAAGAAGCAACAGTGAGAACTGGATCCGGAACCACTGATTGGTTCAAAATTGGGAAAGGAGTCCGGCAAGGCTGTATTCTGTCACCCTGCCTATTTAACTTATATGCAGAGCACATCATGAGAAAGGCAGGGTTAGATGAATCAAAAGTTGGAATTATGATTGCCGGGAGAAATATCAACAACCTAAGATATGCAGATAATACCACTCTAATGGCAGAAAGTGAAGAGGAACTAAAGAGCCTCTTGATGCGGGTGAAGGAGAGTGCAAAAGTTGGCTTGAAACTCAACATTAAGAAAACCAAGATCATGGCATCCGGCCCTCTCAATTCCTGGCAAATAGATGGGGAAGAAATGGAGGTAGTGACAGATTTTATCTTCCTGTGCTCCAAGATCACTACAGATGGGGACTGCAGCCAAGAAATTAAAAGACGTTTGCTCCTAGGGAGGAAAGCTATGGCAAATGTAGACAGCATACTAAAAAGCAGAGACATCACCCTGCCAACAAAAGTACATATAGTCAAGGCCATGGTTTTCCCAGCTGCAATGTATGGCTGTGAAAGTTGGACCATAAGAAAGGCTGAGCACAAAAGAATTGAGGCCCTTGGGCTTCCAGTTTGCGATCGCGGCGCAGGCGGATGTACAGGGCAATCGCTCTCCCCACCATCCGGTTTTCTCTTTAGGGGGACCCTAAAAAGGGTCGGAAGTCGCCCTCGAGGGGTGACAAGCGTGAAGAGGACCCCAAGTGATCGCGGAAGGGCGGCAGCCCTCCCATTTGATCCAGGGCAGCTCTTCTAACTGACGGGGAAAAGACCGGCCATCAACATGGCCCGTCACTAAGCTGCTACCAGCCAAGGGCAAAATTACAAACAAGCACTTCGAAAGCAATGCAGAGGAATTGGGTGAGACTCTACCTTCTCTATACCCCAAGTAACTCTCCTGTTAAAAGCTTTTTGAAATTCTTCCCCTTCTGAGGAGAGAGGGGAGGGAACTTTCTCCCCCCACCCTCTAAAATGGTGACGTTTGACTACCTGGGAAAACAAAGCATTGAAAAGAATAACTTAATATAATTGGATTTACATTTTTGGGGGGGAATCTGGGGACCCAAAAAGTTCCTACTCTTACTGGGGCCTGCAATTTTATTTACTTGTAAAAAAGAAGAAAAAGAAGAATTTAAATTGGATAAAAACCTAGCCCAGGATTTGGAAAAGACTTTAAATGCTATTTGGGACATCTGGTGGCAAAGCTTGGTACAGCAATCTATTATTTTTATTATTCTTAACAAGTGACTTGCTCACAGCCCAGATCTGACCTTGGCACTATCTAAGAGAGATTATAAGCTGAAAGAGCAGCTGGACAGTGAAATTGGTTTTTAGGAACTGTGGAGGTGAACACTTACTGACTCTTATTTAATAAATAGCCTTCACTAAAGGACCATCTATAACTATGTCAGAAATGGAGGAAGACCAGCAACAGATGTCGCTTGACTATAAACTTATACTTGAAAAAATTCTTGAAGCCACCAAGATAATCAAACTTAGACTGAAAGACCAAGGTGCCAGCTTAAATCTACAAAGTGAAACCCTGACTGCAACTAAAGAACCTACAACCCAAAAGACAACAGAAGCAGAAGAAAGTAATATCAAGACGGAGGGCTTTGAAGATCAACAAGTACAGCTTACTGAAAACTTAGACAATCAAATAACAACTACAAAATTGGACATGACTTTCTACCTAAACGAGAAGAAACCTGAGGAAGAAGAAGACCACATCAAATTGAAGACAACTATACTAGAGCAAATATTGGGATCTGAGCCTCTAGGGCGACAACTTAATGATTATAAATGGGCCAGTCCCTCCAGAAAATTGACAACTAGATGGTCTCCTTTAATTCAAGTAACATGTAGAAGAATGAAGGGAGATCTATCTGATGATCTAAAAGCATTGGTATGAAAGCCTGGTTGGCATAAAAAGAAAGCTAGAGTTAGGTTTAAAAATGAGGTTCTTTGATTTATTAGAGAGGATCCTAAAATCTTAACTAATGGGCTAAAGGGAGATTTTAAGATGAGGGGAAATTTGATTATTATATTTAAAAATTGTTGGAAAATGGCTTCCGGTTCCGGGTTAGCAGTGCTGCGCTCGTGCAGAGAGACCTGTCTCTTTGCCGGCCGAATTTCCCCCGCCGGTAGACCCTTGATTGGGTCGAAAGTCGTTCTGGAGGGGAGACCACCATTGAGGTGGCTGCCTGTTTGACTGCAGAGGGGCGGCGGCGCCCTCTGCTGTCCAAGCGAGCTCCTTTGGGCCGACGGACTAAAGATCGGTCAGTAAAATGGCCGATCACTTAGCTGCACCAGCCGTAAGCCACAAGAACATCTAAGCGAAATAGAACCACCGTGGAAGATTCAGTGAGACCTTTCCTTGCCTCTCCCTTTCCTATTTACTCCTGTGAAAAGCCTTTGGAATCATTTCCCTATCTTTTTAAAGCGGCTTTGTTGATGGGGGGGAGGAAAGCCTTGGAACAAAAGAAAAATTAATTTTAACTTTTTCAATGTTTGATTTTATTTTTGAATATTTGGGAGTCCTAAAATCTTTGTTATAGAAACTTAATACGCTAGCAATTTGGAGAATTTTTTTTCTACTATTTTTATAACTAAAGAAAAGAAGGAAAAGAGGAAAGAAATTATTTTTATTGGGGGTCTGGAAAGACTGAACAACTGGTTAACCCTCTGGACATCTTGTGGTGAAATTATTTACTGCAATTGTTATTCCCTTTCTTTAGACTCGGAGTCTGACTTTGACCTTCAAATTATCTCAAAAGGGAAAGATAAAGAAGCTGTATAGCTGGGTGGAAGCGGATATTGACTGATTATTATTAAATACAGCCTCCACCAAAAGAATAATGGCTTTATATACTACTGAAATGGAGGAACTCTGTCCAGATTTCAATTACAAGTATACTGTATATTGGACAAAATTCTTGAAAATACTGAACAAATAATTGTCTATACAAAAGAGATTATTTTTCAACGACAAATCAAAGCGCAAGGTGTAAGTGAGCACTTTGTAAGCCAAGAAACAGCAGAAGGGGTATATAATCAAGAGACTCGTCTTCAACCTTATCCAGAATTTACTGAGATGGAGGAATTAAACTTACATCAGGACTACCAACCTACACCGGAAAAAACTTCTGATGCTAATGAACAAATGACTTTTAGCACGGAAACTAAGGATATTACCCCAGAAGGGAAGGCTGATCTCCAACTGATTATCTGACAGATAAAAAACCAATAGGAGGAGAGCAAAATAATATTAAAGAAGACTCTACATTATTTTATAGACAATCTATTGAAACTCTGGATGATTCAAAAATGACTGTAATTAAACTAGACGCAACTTCAAAAAAGATGAAGACGGATCTTCAACCATGAGCTATTGAGAATCGCTACAACTTTTTCACTAGCCTATTAAAATGGACAATGGGAGATTCTCCCCTGATTTATGCGTTACGGCAAGAAATGGAGGGAGTTTTATTTGTGGACTTAGAGGCCTTACTATGGAAACCCGTTTGGAACAGAAAGAAAGCTAGAATAAGATATAAATATGGGATTTAAGATTACATTTATGGGTTGCAATGGCTTTATAGAGATGTGGATTGATTTGGATTTGGATTTTTAAAAGGTGTTTTTAGGATAAGATTTAGAATTTAACATTGGAATATAGTAAGAATATATATTTTTGGAATAATAGATCTTCATTTTTTTCTCTTTCTTTTTCTTGGTTTCTTTTTGTTTCTTTCTATTATTTTTTTCTATTTTTCCTATGCTTTTTTATTATTAGTTATGATAGCTAATTTGTGGAGCTATAATGATAAAAAGATTGTAATGAAGAGATCAAATTAATAAATGAAGAATTACTGAATAAGAAATAGAATATAGTTGAGAAATGTAAGAATGTAATTATGGAAATAATATGCTTAAATAAGAGAAATTATGGACACCCGAATTGTAAAGAATATTTTTGTTTAAGGCTAAGTTAGATATGGTATTTCGAAATTAATAAACCTAAAAACAGGGTTTGATTTACATCGATGAAAGGTTGCTGATAATTTCTATTGATTAATTGAATTCTTATTTAGGAATGTATTAATGAATTAATTTTACTTAGAAATGTATTAGTTTGACTATATTATTCTAATTGTTAGAGAGGGAAATTTTAAGGAGCATTATTTGAGCTATATATGTATGATGTTATTGTACCTAACTGATTACCCTATCTCCATGTTGTTTCTTAAGCGTTCTGGTGTAAAACTGGAAAAATCAATAAAATTGTTTGGAAAAAAAATTGTTGGAAAATAATAAAAAATAAGGGATTAATTGGCGTAATATTGAGGACTTAGACTTACAAGGGAAATGAAAACTAACTATTAGGAAATAATTTTGAATTATTGTTTAGCCCAGACAATATAGATGATGGACTTGAGATAACAAAGGATACTCCATTATTAAGTGGTGATGTACTAGGATGAGAAATAGAAAATGTTTGTGAATTAAAATAAGAATATATTTAAGTAAGTAATATGTGTATTTTAGATATTATAACAAAGGAAATTTGGGTTACCCGAAACTTAAATACTATGGATATTAAAGGTTAAATTGGAGTATTGTAATTAAAAATTAGGTAAAACTTAAAACTTAAAAACAGGATATGGATATGTATAAGTAAAAATGTATTGATAAATGTGATAATGAAGTTTTAACTGAGTTTGATACAATCAGAAATTTATTATCTTAAATATGATATAGCAAATGTTAATGGAAAAAGAGAAGAAATATTTGATGATGTAACCTGAGATATGTACTAAAGATTTTGTTATTGAATTATTGACCAACCCAATCATCATATTGCTTTCTAAATACTTAAATGTAAAACTGGAAAACTAATAAAATATTATTTAAAAAAATTGAGGCCTTTGAAATATGGTGTTGGAGAAGACTCCTGCAAGTCCCCTGGACTGCAAGGCGATCAAACCGGTCAGTCCTAGAGGAGATCAACCCTGACTGCTCTTTAGAAGGCCAGATCCTGAAGTTGAAACTCAAGTACTTTGGCCACCTAATGAGAAGGAAGGACTCATGGGAGAAGAGCTTAATGCTGGGAAAGATTGAGGGCAATAGAAGAAGGGGACGACAGAGAATGAGGTGGCTGGATGGAGTCACTGAAGCAGTAGGCGTGAGCTTAAATGGACTCCAGAAGATGGTAGAGGACAGGAAGGCCTGGAGCAACGTTGTCCATGGGGTCGTGATGGGTCGGACATGACTTTGCAACTAACAACAACAACAACAATGGCTCATTTTAAACAAAAGAAATCCATATTGAATTGGTAGAGTCACCTAATTGGCTAACAAATGTACTGTAAAAATTAGTTTCCAAGTCAGACAGTCCCAGGATTCTGATTAAAGCAACATTCTGACCCGTTGAAGGTTTATTCATTTTTGTAGTAATTGTTAGGTTGGCCAGGAGGAACAATTAATTAATAGCTTATATTAGGCATTCTGAACTCTAGTCGTTCCCACACTGTGTTCCATTCCTCTTCTTGGCTTGGATAATTGCAGAATAATTAAGTTTTTGTTTATATTTATTCTCTAGATCAAGAGGACATTCCAGAACAGCTCAAAAGCAATGTGTCACATCCATCTGGAGACATAGTTAGTTGGAACCATGTTCCAGCCTCCATGCAAGCAATAGGCATTTCACAGTGGGAGATAAGTAAGTGTTTTAGTTCACTTGTGGGAATGCTTTGTTTGTAGATGGTTTGTTTATTATAAGACACAGAAGTTGAAGGTTTTGGTATAATTGTTTTTTAATTACATCAAATGCTGCTCTTTAAGCTATTACTATATATAATAAGGAAGTTATAATTTAATTTTCTATTTCTAGAAGCATTCAATATGCTGCAGCTTTAGACTAAGCAAGATAGCAAAAAAAGAAAAAAAGTTTGCAATTATTTTTCAGTTGTCAGGTTCTTTTATTATTTCAGTACAATAGTGTTTGGAGACAACACTGAATATAGATGATTTGTCTGTCATTGTTGTACTAATGACCTGAGAAACCAAATCAATGAAATCATGAATATTTCACTGAATCTGAAATCATGAAAATTTTGTTCAAGTAAGTCTTATAGCATTAACCTTAGGAAGTGAATGCTGTAATTTAAGAAAATACATAATGAGATTATGATTCCCTCTAATGAACTAAAATATATTTTATTACAAACAGACATCAATAAATGGCTAATATCTGCAATACAAAGATAAGCATTTCAAGAACAAGATATTTAATGATATTTTTAAAGAAAAAACACACAAAGTATTAAAATACATGTTCCAGCAGATTTGACTTTAATGATGAAACTGCTGAATGTAACAGTGTAATGAAGGCATGTTTGATGTGGATGGAATAAAAGATTCAAGGAGAAAATTCACTTAACTCCTTTGTCCACCTTGTTCCTTGTATGTCACCTTTTGCCTCTTGGATAATTTGTTTCCAATATTTAGAGAGAAAGGATTCCTCCCAAAGCAATCTTTAAACTGTACTACACTATAAATGAAATAGTGCATAATCCTGAAATGAAACAGTTGAAAACAGATACTAGTGACATAGTGTCACAACAGTGACTTGTCTTCATTAGTAGCTAAAAGGGCTGGCTTTCTAAATTAATCTCTGAGAATTGTTCAGAATATATCCAGTAACACTGTTCCCCAAATCATAGGTCTTTTAAAACAAAAAACTAAATATAGAAGATGGCAGGTTCTGTCCAACTAATTCTGCAATCCACATAAAAAAATTATTTTGTTTAGGAAGCCTACAGTATTAGCAATTATGAAAAAGCAAAAGTATCATGGATCAGTACTAATAAGAGCACACATGACCTGGAATCAGACATATCATACTAATAGGCAAATTATTGTTCTCTGTGGTATGTACATTATTTGCATTGTTATATATTAGGTGGAACAGAGAAAACTGTCCTAGAGGGAAGACATCATGAAGAACAAAAGGAGTCAGAATTGGAAGAAGAAAGTGCCAAAGAAGAGAAAACACAAAATGAGAGGTCTTTGGAAAGAGACCAAGGAGAACCAGAGAAACCAGATAAAGAAATAGTAATGTATCTCATTCTTACAATTTCACAAATGTTTATTAAAAAAGTGTCCTGCACATTGAGCATAGTCGATAGGGGTCATGGGGTGTTAGAAGATTACATAACCTATGAAATGTTATTGTTATTGCTTATTGGGTTTGTTCTTGGTGGCTAGTGTAGGTTTTTACACTTTTGGTAATATTGGTTTTTCTATTGTTTTTAATATTTTAATTGCAACTGTGGGATGGCCGTATAAATCAATTAAATAGTGTTCCAGAGACAACATTGTAGAATAACTCTTGACTGTAATATCTTTGTACAAAGTGGAACAGTATAATGGTAGTTTTTTTAAAAAAAAATTATTCTGAGACTTTATTTTGATTTTTTAAGGTACAGCTTGAAGAATAAATAATATCACAATGGTAGATTTCTGTGTGCATGTATTTAATGAGTGTATTGTGTTCTTATAGGGTGGTTACATTTTGTTTACCTTTATCACATTTTTCTTTTTAATAAAGAATTGCTTATGGATGTGTATCACTTGATGTACTCTATGTAAATATTTAAAAATGAGCTATGCAATTTTCTGTTGGAGAAATAATCTATTTTTTAACAGATAGAAGCAGAATCCTACCCATTATTATTCTTTCTTCTTTTTTTCCTGCACCCCATACTACTACTTAACAGAATTGGAAATCCTGCTCAATCAAGAATACAACTTTTGAAGTTTTCAGGGATTACACTAGTTGTCTTTGTGACTGGTGCTGTTCTGCATAGATTTCTAGAGCAGTACTTGATCTAATTTCCTTTTTTATGAAGTAATAATAATAATAATAATAATAATAATAATAATAATAATAATAATAATAATAATAATAATAATAATAATAATAATAATAATAATAGTTGGAAGGTACCTTGGAGGTCATCTATTCCAACCCCCTGCTCAGGCAGGAAACCCTATACCGTTTCAGACAAATGGCTGTCCAGTCTCTTCTTAAAAACTTCCAGTGTTGGAGCATTCACAGCTTCTGGAAGCAGGTTGTTCCACTGATTAATTGTTCTAACTGTCAGAAAAATTCTCCTTAGTTCTAGGTTGCTTCTCTCTGGTTAGTTTTCATCTGTTGCTTCTTGTCCTGCCTTCAGGTACTTTGGAGAATAGCTTGACTCCCTCTTCTTTGGGGCAGCCCCTGAGATATTGGAACATTGCTATCATGTCACCCCTCGTCCTTCTCTTCATTAGACTAGACATACCCAATTTCAGCAACCGTTCCTTATATGTTTTAGCCTTCAGTCCCCTGATCGTCTTTGTTGCTCTTCTCTGTACTCTTTCTAGAGCAGCGGTTCTCAACCTGTGGGTCGCGACCCCATTTGGGGTCGCACGACCATTTCACGGGGGTCGCCAAACCACTCCGTCCGCCATTTTTTTTTGCCCTTTTCCTTAGTTGTGCTATTCCCTGTGCTTGGCGGCAGCCTGCATGCACGAACTTTACCAAATGTGCCCTGCAGGAGGCGTGTGAAGAGCGCAGGCGCAGAGCAAGGCCCCACCCTCCCCAGGGATTCATTTCAGATTTAGGCGGCAAAAGTTTTTCTCGCGCAGAGGAGAGAGGAAAAACAATTGAGGAACACTCGGGAATCCCTTGCAAGGCACCA